TGGCTGGCGCCTTAGCCACTTGAGCCACAGGCGCCGAGCCTCCTTCTCCCTTTTTAATCTCAACATTAGCCCACATGCTGGCTGTGACAGGTGCTCAAACATGCTGAATAGACATGAAGGAATTAAATAATGTGAGATTCATGGGCAGCGCCTGGCTCCATGTGCTGAGATACAGTGACAACTTTAAGACGGGACTGAAACCCCTTGGCCCAACACTTTGCCCTTTGGGGCCTCCACCTTGTCACCTGCAGAATGGCTGTGATGGTCTTGGGGCCCTCATGTTCAGAAGTCTATGTCGGGTAAACCATTTCAGGGACGCCTGCAACCTCGATCTCTCACAAACCACTCCCCACCAAACTAGACTCGGCTTCTCAGACATGGGCCCCTGAGTGTCCCCTCTCCCAGGGCTGACTCCTGCCTCTGTTCCTTTCACAGTGGAAAACAGGCAGAAGTTGCGGGCTGATGAGCTACGGAGAGAATATTTCGAGGAGCAGAGGAACGAATTTGAGAACTTCGTGGAGGAACAGAATGATGGTAAGACACTGCTGGTGGCGTCTTTGGGCAGAGGAGCGTTGGGGAGATGCCACATGGTTTGTCCCTTCTCCTTCTCCCCAAATTTTAACTGGAGGAGGAAGGTAAGGGAGGACGTCCTTTCAACTCACACCTATGGAAGCCTCGAAAGAAGATGGCCACACAGGGCTCGAGAAAGGTGGACGGGACAAAATAACCATGTTACCGTTGGCTTGGGGGCTGCAGACATAGGGAATTGTTTGCTGCTTATGTGGATATAACCCCCCCTATCCTTCTTAGGGGTCACTGTATTCTCTGCCTCAGCACCAAAACCAGTGGCTTGGCTCTGGTACGGTGGACCGGGTGGATTTTAAACCCCCTTTCAGGTGCCTTGGACCCACATCACATACTGCTCCAGGTACGACTTTGTCTTGGAAGATTGAGGCTTTCATTTGCCTGCTCCCTGTGATGGTGTCTTACCTGACAGGTAGCAGCAAACCAGGACACTTGTTCTCAGACAGCATGGGTATTCACACCTACCTGTCCTTCGACCCCCAAACCGTCATCCACAGCCTGTCCTGAGGCTCCAACTCGCTCAGCAGTGTCAGGCAGCCTGAAAGCTCTTGCACCCCTTATCCAATCTCTGTGAGCTCTGACCTTGCCAGCCTTGGTCTTTTGCTTCTTATCAACAGTGAAGAGCAAAGGCCCAGGCAGCCCCTGGTTCTGACTAGGCAATTGGCACCCCTCATTCCTGCACCATCACCTTGGGAGACTCAGGAAGGGCCTTGGTGGAGGGTGAGTGAGTTAGGGTAGGGGGTGGAGGGAGGGTCTATCTTTAAACCACACACACATACACATCCCTCCCCCTAGTAGGATTTTTTTTTTTTT